CGTCTCTGAATGATTCAACATGTCTGTGAGTTCAGATCTGACTTCTGACTCTGAAGAGGAGAGAGACTCAGATTCACCTCCTGCAGGATCTCTGCCTCCCTCAGAGACGTTCGGTTTGCTGGACAGAAGAGTAAAACAGCCAGGACGTGTTACAAAAAGTTGGACCTAAACGATTATAAAATGCCGCCGATTCATTTTCTGGCGATCGACTGATCCTTCGCTCGACTACTTGTTTGAACTCTGCTGCTGCTAATCTGACATTTAAGCCTCTGTCAGATTGGTTTAGGGGGGGGGGGCACGATAAATAACACGAGAAAGTTCAGGTAGGAAAACCAGCAGCTGTACCTTCTCTGGATCATCAGCATACGCAGACAGTCCAGGTTTGATGGCCCTGAATGTCTCGTGGGCCAGTTGGGAGCTTCTGCAGGAAAAAAGACAAACAAAACGCAGTGAGTAACCTTCAGCTTCAGCTTCAGCTTCACCTTTAGTCTTACATTCAGTTTTACCTTCACCTTTAGTCTTACATTCAGTTTTACCTTCAGCTTCACTTTTAGTTTTACCTTCAGCTTCAACTTTAGTTTTACCTTCAGCTTCACTTTTAGTTTACCTTCAGCTTCAACTTTAGTTTTACCTTCAGCTTCAGCTTCAGTTTTACCTTCAGCTTCACTTTTAGTTTTACCTTCAGCTTCAACTTTAGTTTTACCTTCAGCTTCAACTTTAGTTTTACCTTCAGCTTCAGCTTCAGTTTTACCTTCAGCTTCAACTTTCCTTAGTTTTACCTTTAGCTTCAGCTTCAGTTTTACTTCAGCTTCACTTTAGTTTTACCTTTAGCTTCAGCTTCAGCTTCAGCTTCAGCTTCACCTTTAGTCTTACATTCAGTTTTACCTTCACCTTTAGTCTTACATTCAGTTTACCTTCAGCTTCACTTTTAGTTACCTTCAGCTTCAACTTAGTTTTACCTTCAGCTTCACTTTTAGTTTTACCTTCAGCTTCAACTTTAGTTTTACCTTCAGCTTCAGCTTCAGTTTTACCTTCAGCTTCACTTTTAGTTTTACCTTCAGCTTCAACTTTAGTTTTACCTTCAGCTTCAGCTTCAGTTTTACCTTCAGCTTCACTTTTAGTTTTACCTTCAGCTTCAACTTTAGTTTACCTTCAGCTTCAACTTTAGTTTTACCTTCAGCTTCAGCTTCAGTTTTACCTTCAGCTTCAATTTCCTTAGTTTTACCTTTAGCTTCAGCTTTAGTTTACTTCAGCTTCAACTTTCCTTAGTTTTACCTTTAGCTTCAGCTTTACCTTTAGCTTCAGCTTTACCTTTAGCTTCAGCTTTAGCTTTACCTTTAGCTTCAGCTTTACCTTTAGCTCAGCTTTAGCTTTACCTTTAGCTTCAGCTTTAGCTTTACCTTTAATTTTACCCTTAGTTTTACCTACAGTTAGTTTTACCCTTAGCTTTACCTTAGTTTACCTACAGCTTTACCTTTAATTTTACCCTTAGTTTTAACAGCTTTAGTTTACCCTTAGTTTTACCTTTAGCTTCAGCTTTAGTTTACCCTTAGCTTTACCTTTAGCTTCAGCTTCTTTCAGGTTCTGAAATGATGCCTCACTGTTTTACAGCCACATTTAATTTCATTTGACTCCATCCCTCTGACAGGCTGACCCTGGACCTGTGCCTACATCCGAGCTGTCATTAAGCTCTTAATGACAATCCCAGTCTGTATAACTAACAGGTGCTTCCATTAGTCCGGTTAGTTCTGATGCTAAAAAGAAGCCAAAAACAGCACTCAGCCTGTGTGATTTAGCTTAGCGGTTAAATGCGATAACGAAGGCATTTGGCCGAGCTCTGCAGGAAACTTTCTCTAAGCCTAATAAACCCAAAAACCTCTAAAACGCACTAATGAGTTTTGTGTCCTTTTAACTGGCAGCAGCTCCGCCGCAGAGAGGACTAAGGCTGAAAGCTCCTCTTGTCTGTCGGGATCCACGGCTGGTAATTAATGTCTGGATTTTAAATACAGCAGAAGCAAATCAGAGGTCTGATTTATAAACCTTTACAGTTTAATCTGACAGGATCCATATGAGTCCAGTCAGCGTCCACGACAGAGGTTTGAATTCCAGAGACCCTGTTTCATATTGGAGTTTAAAGTTAAAGGTGAACAGCCAACATCACAATCACTGATGGCAGGGTAACCTGCACCCGGGGCAGCCGGTCCTTCTTCACTCAGCCACCCCTCCACTGCTGACTGTCCTCCCGTCCATGGAGCCGGGTTGGTTTTGCTTATTTAGTTTAGATTTTGGCTTACCTGTGTGTCTCCAGGGCTGGACAGGTAAATTTTAGCTCCTATTTTATTTTCTATATTTAGAAATACCTTGAGCATTTCAAAATCTGAACATTTTGCCTGATTTTTCTGGTGATTTGGTAATTAGTGCTTGATTTTTGTGCTTCTACCATGGTTAAGTAGGCTACGTAGTTAAATGTTGTTGTTTTTTTTATCCATTTTAATTGTGTTTATTGTTGATATACGATCTGGAGTTACACAGGGTGTTTTATTTTGAAAATCGACCAGATTCTCTATGCCGTTCTGTTTTCTGACTTCGCTGTCGCCTGTCTAGTGGACTCACAACCACTGACTAGAATGGCTGCGATTAGCTCCGGCAGCCGTAACGCTAACACAGGCAGACTCAGTGGACGCGACACAATGAAATTTGAAAATCTTGTGAAGAAACTAAGTGTAGTAAAGATCCCCAATTTATGTTGCGTTCCACAACCTCCAACTACAAAAACTATCCTGGAACGCCACTTGAAGTCGGATTTCCTACTCCTACTAAAATGATGTACCCCGCCTTCACGAGTAGCAGCTGAATGACATCACACAACAATGGCAGCTCCCGTGGAAACACACACAACATAAACTGAAAGGCAACATGAAGTATATTTCCATGTATTTAAATAATGCCGAGGCTTTAACTGTCAGAAACCTGCCAAAGGAACATAAGTTTGTCACGGTCAGCCATGTTTATTGTTTACATTTGGCGTCATGCACCTGAAACGCTTTGAGGTCGGAAGTCGGGCATTTCAACTTGGAAATTCCCAGTCCGACCGGTCTGCAACGCAGCATTATTTCTACTTTATTCACTTTCCTTTCTTTTCTCTCACACTGATTGGCTCGTTACCTATTGAGGATTTTCCTGGCTTACTACTGTGCATTCTGGTCGATGCTCCAATGATGATCGTAAATGTACCTTTTGAACTCCTACTTTACACTAAAGACAGGATTTTATCTTAGAAGTCAGGCTTTTCTAACATGTTGGGCATTGAAATACACACGTGCAGGTTACTTTGTCAGACTTGAATATGCTGAAAGAACTTACTACATACTTCAGACAAATGTGAAGCCATGTTAAAGTGCATGTAACTGAGAAACGTAAAACTAACAGGTATGCGGTCTTGGCCAGGTGTCTCTAAGCAAAGATTTAAACAAGGTTCCTTCTGGTTAAATCAAGTGTTGCCCGACATGCAAATGGATATTAAAGTGGCAGATATATGAATGGAGTTTGGTGTAATGATATTAGCTGCTCTGTTACTGCAGCACACATGAACATCTCCATCCGTCCCCTGCTGTACCTCTGTTCTCCATCTGGAACTTGAAGACGTGGACTCGGGTCCCGGTGCTTCCAGCATCGAACATGATGCCATACCGGAAGCTCGGCCCAGCCGCGGGGCCTATCGTCTCCGAGCTGGTCCGGGCCGGCCCGGGCGAGGGGAGGTAGTCTGTAGGCGTCGGGCTTTGTGGCGGCGTAGTGACGCTTCACGAACATGAGGTAGGCGAGCAGGCAGCCCACGAAGAGGAACACTCCGGCCAGCTTGGTCTCTTCTCATCACGACTCATTCTGTGTCGACCTACACGAGCTGCATCCTGAGAGTCTGCGGGAGAATCAAAGATAAAACTTTATATTCCAACGAACAGGACACGATGATCCACTCTGAAGCTTCAGAAGTTAACAATTACATTTAACTAATGGCGGATGACAAACACAAAATGTGATCTTAATACTATTCACGTCATTTCAGGGTCTGACTTGCTGAAAATACTTCGAGAAAACAAAACGAGGTCTGTGTTTTGTGTGTAGTTTGAAGCCTCCAGTGGTGTTTGTCTGTTACACTAATACACTGCTCCAAAAATAAAGGGAGCACTTAAACAACACAATGTAACTCCAAGTCAGTCACACTCCTGTAAAATCAAACTGTCCACTTAGGAAGCAACACTGACTGACAATCAATTTCACATGCTGTTGTGCAAACTGGAAAAGACAACAGGTGGCAATTAGCAAGACCCCCCAATAAAGGAGTGGTTCTGCAGGTGGTGGACCACACTTCTCAGTTCCTTTGCTTCCTGGCTGATGTTTGGCGGTGCTTTCACTCTAGTGGTAGCATGAGACAGAGTCTACAACCACACAAGTGGCTCAGGTAGTGCAGCTCATCCAGGATGGCACATCAACGCGAGCTGTGGCAAGAAGGTTTGCTGTGTCTGTCAGCGTAGCGTCCAGAGCACGGAGGCGCCACCAGGAGACAGGCCAGTACATCAGGAGACGTGGAGGAGGCCGTAGGAGGGCGACAACCCAGCAGCAGGACCGCTACCTCCGCCTTTGTGCAAGGAGGAGCAGGAGGAGCAGGAGGAACACTGCCAGAGCCCTGCAAAATGACCTCCAGCAGGCCACAAAGTGTCAGAAACAGACTCCATGAGGGTGGTACGAGGGCGCCGTCCACAGGAGGGAGGGAGGTCATACAGGCACGTGGAGGCCACACACACTACTGAGCCTCATTTGACTTGTTTTAAGGACATTACATCAAAGTTGGATCGGCCTGTAGTGTTTCCCATTTGATTTTGAGTGTGACTCCAAATCCAGACCTCCATGGGTTGATGGATTTGATTTCCATTGATAATTTTTGTGTGATTTTGTTGTCAGCACATTCAACCATGTAAAGAAAGGAGTATTTAATGAGATTATTTCATTCATTCAGATCTAGGAGGTGTTATTTTAGTGTTCCCTTTATTTTTATGAGCAGTGTATTAAACTGACAGATACCTGAATGGAGTTTGGTAGAAATTCATGTTGTCTCCGATTAGAGAGGAGGAGCCACTACTGAACATGCATTCACACAGCTTTGTTTTATATTTCCAGAGACAAGCCTGCATCCTGAGCTCCTCGTGGAATTAAAGAATACATCTAGTGTCAGCGGTGCAGTGAGGAATGCACAGACCTGTAGACTGGGGGAACTAAACAACACAGCGGGATGAGCTCCTCAGCAGGTTACTACATCTGAAGCACAGAAGACCAAAGAAATTATGATTTTCTGCCATAATCTAGCAGCCCTAGAAAGAAGACGTTTCTTTACAGGAAGTCCGCTACAGGTAATGGTCTCTTTAATTTAAATGTCTGACTCTGCTGAGAAAGTGCCTGATGTTTGTGATATAATATTTCTACTAACAGCAAACTGGCAGATCTGTGAATGGAGTTTGGTGTGGAGTCATGGCGGTGGCTCTGTCTGGTGAGTAGCAGCTACCACAGCAACAGGAATTTATCTGGTCACTTAATTAAGTCGGACTCAACCTGCTGCATCTTATGTTGCACTTGGCTTGTTGGAAGAATCATAGAGAATTTAATTTGAATGATCCACGCTGTTCTACAATACAGATCTTAAATTAGCAGATATTTGAATGGAGTCTGGCGTGGGATCATGTTCACTGAGTACCTCTACAGGATTAACTCAAACTGTTTGTTTACTGATCTTGTTTGTTTGTTTGTTTGTTTGTTTCCAGATGCTAACAGTTAGCTAGCTGTCGGCACGTTAGCCGGTCAGCATGAAGGTGATAAACTAGCAGCATGCTAACCGATGCTAACCGCGGCTCCTGTTGCAGGACAAACCGGAGAACGTGTGTTTACGTCCCGAGCAGCTGCTCCGGTAAACAAACGGTTTACTCACTTTTTCCTTCATTCTCTCTCCGCCGCTGAACTACAGCCTCCAACCCGGCGCCGTCTGATGACGTCAGCGGAACGGAGCCGCTAACGTGGCCGAAAGCACGAGACAAAACAAACAAACAAACATTTTCACTAAAAATATAAATCTGGGAGCCGAATTATATTATCATAGAAATGCAAACAGGAAATTAACATTTAAAATATAAATAAAATTTTATTCTTATTTTAACTTAACATTTTTATTTATGTGACGTGTTTCAAAAAGAGAGAGAGAGATAAAAAGATCTTTGTGTTTGTAGAAATGAATAAAATACCCAAAACAAGAGAAATAAATGTGAAAACTGAATCTTTTGTGTGGGTAAACGTCCTGCTCTCCTTCCTGCTCTCCGGAGGATGAACCCTCTACGTGACTGACCTCTGACGTTTCCTCTAGCGCACCTGCAGGACAAACTGAGCGTACACCTGTCTGTAGGGAGCACTGCAGCCTGTAGGGGGCGCTGGCAGGACAGCAGTCTGTCTCCATCAATTAAAGTACAATAATCATTTCCCTCCTCTCTCTGTGTGTCAGCAGCTGGTCGCCGCCATTCATTACCTCATTAACCAATCAGATCATATGTGATGAGGGTCAGGGGGAATCTGGTGGGAGGAAGAGACCATATGGTACGGGGGGGGGGGGGGGGGGGGGGGCGACATTGATCAACAGCAAACTGTTGCACAATCTGTTTCTGCATCAGCGGAGGGAGAAGCACTCAGAGCTTTTACTGAAGTCAGCGCAGGAAGTCACGACGATGGACTACTGAGCTGTTTACACGTTTATATAGACGCCATTAACACAGAACAGCTCGCAGCAGGAGGGGCAGAAATAAATCTAATTACACAGGACAGCAGTGCAGTTAGAGGGAATTTAAAACAGGGCGTGGATACACAGTACAGGTAACGACACAGTGTGTATAAGATATATATATATACAGTACAGGTAACAACACAGTGTGTATAAGATATATATATACAGTACAGGTAGACACAGTGTGTATAAGATATATATATACACAGTACAGGTAACAACACAGGTGTATAAGATATATAATACACAGTACAGGTAACAACACAGTGTGTATAAGATATATATATACAGTACAGGTAACGACACAGTGTGTATAAGATATATATACACAGTACAGGTAACAACACAGTGTGTATAGATATATATATATAACAGTACAGGTAACAACACAGTGTGTATAAGATATATATATACAGTACAGGTAACAACACAGTGTGTATAAGATATATATATATATACAGTACAGGTAACGACACAGTGTGTATAAGATATATATATACACAGTACGGTAACGACACAGTGTGTATAAGATATATATATACACAGTACACGTAACGACACAGTGTGTATAAGATATATATATA